CGACTAGGTGTTTGATCCGTCGGCGATTCTGGCCGCCGAGAGCGGCGCGACCGAGCAGAACGAGCCGCCGCGAACGGCAGACCCGCCGACGACGCCAGCTTTCACGCTGCCGCTCTTGCACGAACTACACCCGCTCTGCTACCAACACGGCTACCGCAAGGACCAGGACCAAGTGCGCTCCGAGCGCAGCCCCGTGCAGGTCGAGCATCTCTCCACGCGCCCTTGGCTTCACGCGTAGTAGGTCATCAAGTACCTCGCAAGCCTGGATCTGCTCGTGATCGCGGCCGGCGATTTGAAGCTGACGTTTTGGCAGCCGAACGCGCTCTTCATGACCGAGTCGCCCGAGCCCGTGTACGTTGCGAGCACGGAGCACCCGCAGCGTGTTCTCGAGTGGGCGCCCACGGCCTCGCGCATCTTCTCGCTCGCGACCGACAATGCGATTCTGGTTTGGCGCGTAGGGCAACTGCTACATTGACACATTGATAGTGTTAAATATGTGGTCGGTAGGTGGTGGCCAAGAGCAAGAAGTCGTGCAGTGCTGTCTGCACGGACGTCCTGCGCTCGCACAAGGACATGGTCCAGGATCTGCTGCTCGTCAACGACGAGACGCTCGTGTCCTGCGGGATGGACTCGCTCATCAAAATTTGGGATCCGGCGAGCTTGGAGTGCAAGAGCACCCGGCGCGGCCACAAGCGCGGCGTCCGAAAGCTCGTCAAACACTCGGACTCGGTGTTCGTGAGTACGGGTAGTCCTCAATGTTGTTTTGAGTGTTGTGCATTGAGTTTCGTGGGTTTTGAATAGGGTTTGAGCGAGACATGCTCGGATGGGACGTCTCGGGGCTGAGCATCGCGCCCATCTTCAAGCTCTCGGGACACACGTCGCCGATCCTGTGCATTCAAACGATCCCGCAACTCGGCCAAGCCATCAGCCTCGACGACGAAGGCAGTTGCTCGCAAACATGATACTCCGCTGATACATTGATACTAGGCTACTTCAAGTGGTGGAACATGACCAACCTCGTGTCCATGGACGACAACGACCGGTGTCTCCAGACCTTTCGCTTTGGCAACGGCCAGTACGTCGATCATCTATCTATCCATCTATATATCCATCCATCATCTATCTCTAGGTACCCGTGGAAGCCCAACGCGTTTACACTCTTTACGAACGGCGCCACGATCCTCGCCTCGGGCTTCCATTTGAAATGGATCCACCGCGTCCGGCTCAAGCCCAAGCACTATGCATCCAGCGCGATCGTGTTGAACACGACCACGTTGACGCTCCTCACAACGACCGACCGCGGTGGGCACCAATCGCGTGTCCTTGTGGTCTAGTTTAACGTAACCCTCGTAGACGTTCAGATTTGGGACGCACAGAAAGGGACACTGTTGCATGTGTTTCGCGGCCTCTGTCGTAGCGACATCACGCACGTGGTCTTAGACGCCCGCGAGCGCAAATTTGTGCTCTCTACGCTCGGCGGCGACGTGCTCGTCTTCAACTACCTCAACGGCGCGCTTCTCAAGAGCTTCCCGCGCCACTCGGGCCAAGTGTCGTGCATGCTGTACTGCAAGGAGGACGAGGTCGTGCTCACGGCGTCCTGGGACCGGTCGCTTCGTCTCTACGACGACGACTCGAAGAAGCCCCTCCTGCGCTGCATTGCGCAAGCCCATCGCGCCGACATCAAGTGCATGGCCTACTCGTACCACCTGGGTCTCGTCGCAACCGGCAGCGCTGATGGCTCGCTCAAAATCTGGGATTACGTCTACTTTCTACTGGAGCAAGCGTACAGTGAGCACAGCGTCGAGGTCAACGCGGTTGCGTTTCTAGACCCGCACCCAATCGTACTCAGCGGCTACGAGAACGGCATGATCGTGCTGCACTCGGTTCGACCTGCAGCTCATCCCACGCGTCTCTGCCAGTTTTCGATTGACGCCGCGAGGTAGACTCGACATGAAATGTCGTTGGCAACCGACGCATCTTGGATGGTAGTCCCACGGCCTCTGTCGCGACCTTGAACACGCTCTACGACCCGTTTGGCGGTGACGCCGTTGCCGAAGGCATCACGAGCGGTCGACAGCTCGTCTATGTGGGCGACTATAGCGGCATGCTTCGCTGCTGGGACCTCTACCCTGTCCGTCATTTTTCAAAAATTGTTTGTTTGATGTACGGTTCTGTAGGTGCTGCGGCAGCACCAAATCGCCGCCGCCGACGAGTCGCTCTTGCCGCACACGTCCAAGTCATACAACCCACGGCGCCGCATCGAGCGGGACGGCGACGGCAGTAAGCGATGCCTCGATTCCATAGGGAGCGATATCACGGGCGTTGTAGCTGCCGCCACCGTCGACCGAACAACGTCGGCGCCAATCATACCGGCGCCGCCCGTGACGAGTGCGTGGCAAGCGCATACGATGGCCATCAAGTGCGTCACGCTCGTCGAGTCGCCCGTCGCGTGCATTTTAACCTGCGCGATCGACAAGACAACCAAAGTCTGGACGCTTGGACGGCACGCTGCTCGGTGTCCTTCGGCAGCGCGACGTGGAACCTCGCCATCAACACGACCGACGCCGCGGCGCAAAAGTGGGCCCGCGCCAGCGCGCTTT